GTATAATATGTAGGAAGTGTTATATCTCCATTACCGTTCAGAGGGCATATTTTGGAACTGTGTAAGGATTAATAACCCCCATTTAAATATTTTGTTTACTAACAAAAAAAATGGATCTATGTAATCTGAAATAAATTAATTGAATTAAACTATGTCTATTAATTTGCTCTTAGCTCATTGAGACTTAATAGATTTTAACTTGTCAATGATATTATTAATAATCCATCAGCTATGCTACCAACAATATAATCAGACAATCGTCAAATTCCCAATTCCCAAAAGGCCGGTAACGCACTTGTAACGCCTTGGTGTTTCGAGTGTCCATGGGCGGCGCCGATTGCTTACCATTAGGTGATGCGTCTGCTCGATTACCGACTTATGCTATAAAAAAGACATTGTGAATCAGACCTTTAGACTAACATTTTCTAAAATTGGAAATCTAATAATACGTAAAGGTCATGAAGAATATTATTTCGTTGAGATTTCAATTTATAACAGCATAACAAACACACTGCCTTTGCTTAGTTATATTTGCACAACCCTATTAATATGGTGAGGACAGCCCTAGAAATCCTTGGGAAGAATCACCCTTTATTTACATTGACCTAATAACTTAGCCCAAGATCCCTAAGGGTCGTGTCCAAATATTTTTTTGGGAAAATGAAAGATTTCCCCAGTAAAAACAGTTTACTTTCGAGTACCACTAGAAATATCAATTTTGCGTAAGCTTTATTAAGAATATTGTCTTTATTGATCCAGTTTTAGAGTTTATTAGTAAAACTAACTAACCAATTTGATTTGCCAATAAATACGTGCTCTATTATATAGAGGATACCTACTATATTTATTTATAATCTTTTTTTCAATTACAGTAAATTCTCAAACAAATCATCATTAATCTGGACTGTCCCAATCCACACAATACCAGGTAAAACCATTAATTATATCGGTGAAGCGTCAATCCCTACCTATAAGCACCTATAAGCTTGGCTTAACAATAAGCCAGCCAACAATATCGTCAATCAGGCCCAATTGTTTGGCTAAGCCAGGAATCCCTTGCATTGATTAGATCACTCGAATGGTTTCTAAACAGCTTTATTGGATGCTCACATTGGCCGACTAGATGACAACGGACTTGGCCAACAAGGCAAGCCAACCAGCCAACGTTCCAAAGTCAAATTCTATCCACAATTGTTTCCGCGAATGAAATTGCTCGGGTTAGCGTCTGTATTGCCAAGTTTCATACTTATTACATTTTTCGGTGTGGCAATAAATTCTCGGTTCTGTTTTTAAATGTATGGCGTTGAATATTAAAAAGGGTTTGGGTTAAATGTTGGCCTCTTTGGAAAGATATTATTTTGTTTTGTTTGCCAAATTACAGGTTTGAGGGAAGGGTAATTGTTTTATTGTTTTCAGCTGGCTGATTGGAATTTGGGGTAAAGGGGTTGAACAATAAACAAATATTTATATTTTTTTTTTACAGTTTTGGAATATGTTACCAAAATAATAATTGAAATGGAGTTACTATAAACATATTTCCGAGTTTGTGCATTGTTTGTGTATCTTAAGAAACTATTACACTTATCCAATTCCAATTTAATATATCAAACAGTAATTAAGTAAACGCTCTTACGCATCTGATGCCTTCTATTATGAACAATTATTAACTACACATGAAAATACTTATACAGAATAATTTGTAAAATATAAACCCCCTTCTGCGAGACAGTGTATTAATAATATCAACAACAACTTTTGTTCTACGATTTTTCGTAATATTGTAGATTAAAAATTTTCTAAAAAATGTAAAAGTTATAGAAGTTTTTTTTTGCTTTATATATAAGTGTTTTTGTTCTATTTAAATACGATTTAAATGAAGGAATATTTTGTCGAATTCATAAGCAACATTAAGATATATTTATGTTTAAAAACTTAAGCCCATTAAAAAAGCTTTTCTACGTACTTTATTTAATATTCAAAACAGCGTAATCTGCTTCGCAATAAAATCCAATCAAGTTGAACGTTTTAATTTCAGCTAATTGGTCGGCTTTGTTAGTAAATGAAAACAATTTGTTAGTCAAAATTAATCATTTTTCTCTTTTTAATGGTTTAGTTTGGGTTGTTTTCGTAATATCAAGTAAGAAAAATATGTTTGAAGGCTTTGACTGCCAATAAAAAACTGTTGAAGATAATCCTCCGATAACGCCGGTCACCGGTGACCTCCATGGCGTTTAACGTGTTAATTGACAAACATTTGGTTCATTGTTTTACTAGAATTATACACGAAACTAAACATAATCAATACACACATCATGCAATATATGACATCTTATAATAATGAAAATTGACCGTATTTTTTATGGTACTCTATATTATTATTGCTTGCATTCCGTCGGTAAAGGAATTTTGACATTGACCCTAAATATCACAAATATTTTGGGTTTATTTACTGGGGTTTAGACTTACGAATACATAGCATATTATCACGCCTTTTGGAGTAAGAATAGAATTTATCTTAACTAATGCTATAATAGTCAGCAGTGGCCACTTATAGACTGTTGATGATGATAATGATGACTACTATAACTCTTTGCCCGACAGTCGACCACTCGGCCAACGAGGCAGTCTGTACGAGTATAAACTACGTTTAAAAAAACCGACTTCAACCACCTCTTTTTCTGAAGTCGGTTAATTAATATACTAAAACCTAAGTGTAAAAGTATTTGTTATACTTTTCTAAAAACCGCATCACAATCGTATCAGCCAACCGTTAGATAACCCGCGATTTTACGTAATTTAGTGTGTCTCACGATAGTTATTATAAAAAGTAGGACAGAACCTCGTTTTTTTCATTTTGACTGAGACTGAGTCTTTATTAGTTAAGTTTCAGCGAACAAATTCGGACACAAAAAAGTAACGACGATAAATTGATTGACAAACTTCAAATTAATAAGATCGAAGCCAGAGCAACGCAAGTTCTTTGGTGTTCCGCATAAGGCTTAAATATGAATTTCTTATCAAGTTACGAAATTTCAATACATTATTCAGAGGGCAAGCCCCCGGGTCCCCCAGGACCTTACACCTCGGTTCGGAAGGGGGTTCGTTAAAACGTACAGTTTTACTCTATTTTCGAACACGGCTATCGTAAAATTTTATTGAGATAAAGCTTTCTGTTACTTAGTTAAAAAAAATATATTTTTTGTTACTATTGAGTTTTTATTTGGTTACTATAACAGTACTTTTTTAATTGAAAATTCTAAATAAAAATTAATTTAAGAATCTGTAACGCTAATAACCAAACACAAATGAACATAATCTCTCGTCTATATGTATAATTGAGGAGTCGAAACCACCGAATGTAGTGTAACATACTAAAATGAAACCTTTTTAGTGCAAAACGTAAACATCGAAAAAGTAGGTATGCACTATACGTAAAACTCCACGAATTACACTTATACATGTAGGTCTAGTCAGGTGTAGGTTTTTAATGATATGACTCTTATTCATCTCTTTGATATGACTTACCTATAAGTCAAATATTTTCTCTTTTTACAAGTCTAGCGCTTTGCCGTAACACATGACGCTGGCAGAATAGTCAACTACAAAATAGTGGAGACTCAATTGCCATAGAAGAAAAAAAAAGTCTAGCGCTACACACACATAGGATTAAAACTGACGAATTTCTTGGAATTGTGCCTCTAATTTTAAAGTGACATTTAAGGTTATAATTTAATTATGAATATTATTACCTACAGCTGATATTATTACCAGGCGGGTCCTGGCTTGTAAGTAGTTCATGTCTAGGGATTTGAGGTAAACTATTTTTTAAAGTAAATAAACTATATATTAAAAAATAACAGTATTTTAGAATTATCATTAAACTGAGTAACG